AACTTTTATATTGTTGTAATTTTTAGCCCTATTTTCATGAATTTTTTATCAACCTGTTCATAATTATATTAACTTTAATTTGTAAACTCCGTTTTTTATAAACTTTAGTGTTTGGCATATTATACAAGGTTAATCGAGGGGTTGTTTTTTTACCATAACTTTGACACACCATGTGCAATAATTTCGTGTGTAAATTTTCCTGAAATATAATTTTAGGGTCAGAACCATGTCTCCTGAGCATTTTGTTTTTTGAATCATGTCAATAAATGCCTTGGTTAATTTTTAAGAGCGAAATGAACTTGCCACCAACAATTTGCAATTTTTTCAATCATAATTAATTTTTGAAGTTTTTCTCAATATGACAAAGCAGCTTTGGTGATTATTGTGAACTATATACTACTCTGAACTGCCCATCATGTTCGACGTTTGGAAAATGCTTGCCAGCAGGGTTAGAGGTCGCGAAGCGTTACCAGCTTCATTAAAATGAACTTCGCTTGGTCCTTAAAGAAGAATGGGAAAACATAACGCAGTATGATATATGCAGCCTCAATGACAGTATAAACAAAAGTTATAGCAGCCAGGGGAGGCAATACAAAATATTAGGGCATTTTTGCAATCTTTTTTTCTGTTTATATACTTCAGTATTCAGTATCGTTTCCTTAATATAGTTAGTTCTGTTATCTTTATTAATGTTTATGAAAACCAGGACTGTATCGTTAGTCTTTAAAGTTTTTTTTAGTATAGAGTATCCGATGCAGCGTAATATGACGTTACGACGATAGTCACCAAAACCGTCTCGTCTTTTTAAAAAATTACATCAAAAGGAACGATAACTGAAAAAATTTGCAAATTGAACGTGATCAGTTCATTTCGCTCTTAAAAATTAACGAAAACATGCATTGACGTGATCCAAAAAACAAAATGGTCAGGAGACATGGTTCTTACCGTAAAATTATATTTTAGGAAAATTTACACATGAAATTATTGCACAGGGTGTTTTAAAGTTAGGATAAAAAAACAACCCCTCGATTAACCCTGTATAATATGCCAATTACTAAAGTTTACAAAAAATTGAGTTTACGAATTAAAGTTGACATAATTATATACAATTAGCTGAAAAAATCATGCAAATAGGGCTAAAAATAACAAAAGTATAACACTTTAAATTTGACCAAAAATTTCTCTGTTGCGTTTTTTTGCATCTGAGTGTATCTTTCGTTATGCTCTCCTGAACAGAGTGCAAACCGTCTGGTTGCCGGTAGACGTTCCGTTCACTACTGCGCATGATCTATATTCAACATCTGTTAACTACTGCGCATCACAAGTTTGCCCTGTAATTCAGGAACTAAGGAGGCTAGGACAAATATATGTGTAGCATATTTAGTTTCATAAAAAAGTAGAAAAGTAATGTGAACATCGCATCATTGTATCACTACTCATAAACGATAAATCCCATAAAACACACGAAAATGGGATACCCTGTATGCTTTAATTTTTAGCTCTATGCTGTGTGCCTTTTCTATACGGTAGTGAACCAGTAGTCCACTGGCGCGGCAGCCAGACGGCCCACACTTTGGTCAGGAGAGCATAGCAAAATACATATTAAAGAAACAACTTTCTTAAAATTCCCGTTTTCCCAACGTTGCTAGCTCTTGTACCTACTATTATATTTTTATTAAGGTTAGATTAAATTTGTCAAAAAAGTGTCAAAACGTCCGTTATCGTACGATCTTTTTCCGTTGACGGGCTGGAGTAAAAAATTTACGGATGAAAAGTGGCGCAAAAACGCTATGACCAATCAGAACACCCCGCGCCGCGCCGGCCCCGTCGGACCATCGTCTCAATCGGACGCGCGCAAATCAAGCTTTAGACATACTATAATATTAACTTATTACCGGTAAAATCAAAGCCTAAAATTACAAAATTGGCGCTTATCAAGTTTTTCTCCTAACCCTTCAAATGTTGCAATTTTAATAGAAAAAAATGGCAATAGAAACATTTCTTACGCTTCATAAAATCTAGTGCTAGCCCAATTTCTTTATTTGATAATCAATTTCCTTTAAAAACTTAAAAGTTTACTAACGTGTGTTACTAAGTTTTTTTTTATGTATAATGTGTATTGGGATTTAATTAATTGCGATATAATATAATGACAAACGCTCGAAAACGAAAATGGCATCAGTGATGGTCTGGAAATTAAAATCGCTGTCATTTTATATGTAAACTTATATTATGGGGAACATCATCGATTGTCATTTCCAAGTCAACCATTTCTTCGATCATACAGTATTGACGTGGATTCATATACTACAAACTTGTTGTGTAAACCAGCAAATTTAAATTATAATTCCAAATATATATTTTTTTTAATTTAAATACGTTTTTTATAAAGTTTGCCAATCGGTACAATATAGAAAATTAAAAAAGAACATCTATTCGCAAAAATACAGGCTAATAGGATTTACATAAGTATAATAGGTCTGATTCTCACTCGATTTGACTGAAAACATTGTCAGTCATTATTATGCGGCTGCCTAAATTTGAGAGACTAAATGAGTTAGAATTAGACTTCAACTTCAAAACATTACTTATTTATAAATATGTTTATTAAAACATTAAATAGAAAATTGCGAACAATGAAGAGCTATAAAGTGAAATAACTGTTTATATTCTATTACAAAACCACTTAATTCTGCTAAGTAATATGAGTATAAACCCATTATGCATGATCAATAATAGGTATTTTACAAAAAATTAACCAAATTATTTTAATATTTGATATTTGTGATATTTTCTAAAAAAAATTAGAATTTTTTTTCTAGTACAATGAAAGAATACAATGTATAATTAATTTCAATATACAAACAACAAATCCGCGGCTCTAATCAGTAAAAATCTAAAAATAAATACCCTAAACATTACCGTCCTTAAATATACTGCGCAACATCCATGCTTCTACTACGAATGGTATAAATAAACTTTTGAATAAAAAAAAACGTAAATGCTTTATATGTACAGAAAAATAAAATGCATCATATATTTCTATTCATAATAATTTCAATATGAAATTAGATCTTATATCACGAAAAGTACGGCAAGTTTAATTCCAATACACAATAATTTTTACGGATGAAAAAAGTGCTCATTGTATATTTAGAATTCTAAACCTATTCGCCCCTAAATTAAATGTATCAGAGAATTTATAGCTTTTAAAACGACGGTTATGATTTTTAGCTTTACACAAAAAATACACTTGATGATTTATTAAGGTTTACGTATAATAAGGGCTCGCAAAGGTTAGTCTTGGGTAGAGATTTCCGTATGAAGAAGAGTACAATGCATTTATAATGTACTGAACAAAGAGAGAACAGTAAACACGTTGCCAAACGTATGAAATAAACCGAGAAACAGTGCACATTGCTATGAGACGTGGAAGGGGATATACCAGATTTGTCGCAGTCGACCGGTCGACCGTCGATCAGTTAAATCAGTACCTCTGTCAGTACTTAAAGTTCTAGGGAGAGATCAACGAGTCGTAATTTTCCCTATAGCTTAAAAATTTTTAAGTGTAAGTTAGAAACACTTACATTTTTGGTAAAAATAAGTGGAATTGAGTTGGTGTTCGACAGTGGTCGCGCTATTAGAACTCTGAATTCAGAAATCAATATCTCGAAATCTATTAGAAATGGTTGATTGTAGTTTTTTCAAAAACTTTAATATTTCTTCTGTATTTTCTTCGCAGACAGCATGTGAAAATATTTATAAATAAAAAAGCTACACGATTGCTGAAAATTGCTATGCACTAAAAGTAAATGGATGGGTTGTTTAAAATGTTTGAATGGAAAAAACAACCTTATCGAATTTTTCTTATTTAAACATATTGTAAAAGATCCCATCAAAATAAAAAAAGTTTCAATATCTAAAGGGGTTCTTAAGTTCTTATTATCGTTTCTCCTTAGCACGGTAGAAATAACATGGCGGTATTTGTTGCCAAGTTGCCTAACCTTTCATTTACTTTATCTTTTGAAGTTGTTTTGTGTATTGTAGGTTGCATTGATTATTATCAAACAAAAAGGTTGAAACCAAAGCAATCAAAACACGCTTGTCGAGACAGTTGCATTTAAAAAAACAGGGAAACGCTAAAGAAAACAAACCAAAATGTTGAAATCATAGCAATCCGTTTTGATTGCTTTGGTTTAAACCTTTTTATTTCTGTTTTTCAAAAACCCATACTTCAAACGAGCCAACCTGCACTGTCGCTTTAGTATACCCAGGATATTCTGTGCTCAAGTGTTGTATGTGTAGATATTTTACGAGAACTGTACTTGTTACTTAGTTTCGGAGTGTGTATGATATTTATTACACCTGCGCAGTAAAAATGCCAATGAATCGACGTACGACCTGTTATTTATATATTTTATATTTTTATATAATAAAAAGAGCGAATTTAGGATCTTTGTCAATAATCTTGGCTGTCAAGAAATGTTCGAATTCGGTCGTACTCCTCCAATTTAAACCAGGCACAAATAGTTCTGCGTTACGCGCAACCAACAAAAACCCTATACAGGGTAGCTTTTATATATGGAAACGGTCGATTATTAGGTAAAATATAGGAGGTACCGCAAAAAGTTAAATATAACAGTACCCCATTAACAGTATCACAGTTTCGACAGAATGGCATCATTCAAACCAAACATCGAAATTAATTAAATCAAATTGTTTAAGTGATATTTTCAAAAGTCAATAACTCGGAAACGGCTGCTTTGAGGTACATTGTGTTTATTTCTATTTTTGCTTAAAATTGAAAGAATAATTGAAATATGTAATAATATACAGGGGGTTCTATTTAAAAAAATGAAACTTGTGATGCTACGACTTTATGACCGACCCGGTATACTTAAATTTATTACCCGCTAATAGATATTAATAAACTCTATAATTTTTATATTTAACTTTTTGCGGTACCTCCTATATTTTACCTAATAATCGACCGTTTCCATACATAAAAGCGACCCTGTATATTTACAACACTAAAAGTAACAACTTTTTTATAGATAAGAAACTAAACTTTTGTCATATTTTTATTATCCTCGTTGTTTTTAAAACTATAAATTCTCCACTAGCCTAGACCTAACTTATCACTATTAATGTACAACGACGTCGGGTTTTTCCGACGTGGTACCTTGTCGCGTCGGACTGAGTAACTCTTGCCTATCCCGTTCCCGTTCCTTGCCGGGTCGGAACGCTTCCAGGAGGGACTGCACGCGTTCCTCTGTCGGTTCCCATTTCTGGTGACCGGCCGAATTCTGAAGCCAGGCGATTACGGTGCCGTGTTTGGATCGGATGTTCAACTCTGACCTAAAGCAGAATACCAAAAGGTCTAATTTGTCGCTACAAATTCTGATCTTTTCTTTACAGGGCTGTTCACCACATACGACACGGAATATTGTAGCTAAACGATTAGATTTTTACAAATTGTAAGTTTTGGGTTCGTTGAAGGACTATTAGAGCTACAATTTAAAAATATTTTTACAAGATACAGAGTGTCCCAAATAAGTAAAAAAATATTATAGTTGCATTTTTTTAAATGGAACACCCTGTATATTATTACATTTTTAGATTCTCCGATTGAAATAAAGGTAAATTTGATTAAGGTTTACCGCATTTTAATCTTATCGTTTTTGAAATATTCACGTTTTTATCCAAATTCAGTAACAATTTTAATGCTTTAATTTCTCTAAGCGTATTTAAGTTTTAAAACCAAATATAGTATTGAAGTTTTTCTATTTACTAAATTTTGTGCTGCCGTAATAAAAATTATACTACCTTATACAGAGTGTCTAAAAATTTATTTTAAATAATTATTAGCTTTAAACGGCAGTACCTTCTTTAATTTAAATGGAACACCCTGTATATTTTACGATAATTTTCTACCTATCTCTTCAAGTTTTCGTAGAAAATGCATTTTCTTATCATTTAGACCTTATTTATCAATATACCCATGAAATGTTGACATTTTAGATTATTTTTAAAGGTGTAACTTTTGAATAAGAAAACTAAGGAAGGAGCATATCAAAAATCTTAGGTCCACCGCGATGGGCCTCAAATATGGCCGACTTAAATTCCGGTTTATCAGTTTCGTTCTAATTTTATTTAAAAAATGTAAAACTATGATGTAGGGTAGACGTGGGGTAGACTCAATAATATGTTGTTTTATTTGACGTTGTGAATAAATGTTGGTAGTTATTAAAATTGTTACAAAAATATTTAATTCTAATAAAAATAGATAAGTTATAATAATTATTTATTAACACAAACATCCGATACGCTACTGAAGCAGGTAAATATAGTAAATCAAATTGACGTATCTAAATTCTTTGACATCTAATCTTTGACAAGTAGTAAATAAAAGCAAAAATGCAAAAAAAATATATAATTAGTTAATTTAAGTGAATTTCATAAATAATCGGTTTACTACACGTATGTATATTATATAGTCACTTACTAGTGAAAAGTTGTTCCATTATTTCACTCGATTTTTGCCGAGATCTACCGCACGCTACACAACCAACTATTTTAGAGTCTTTTTCGATAAGTCGCGATAGTGTCACTGTTAATTTAAGTTCTGCCACAATTTCCATCTAGATTTACTACCTTTATACAACTATCAGTAGTAGAATAAATAATAAATAACATAAAATAAGCTCCGTAAAGACTGATAAATCCATAAAATTTCAAATCAAATTCAAATGTGTCAGTAAATATTTAGTATTGAAAACTTTGATACCCTTGGAGAAATGAAGCCTCAAATTTTTTACTGCAATTTCATAAAATTGAAAATATTTCAAAAACGGTAAGGTTTAAGTGTGATAAACCTTAATAAAAATTACCTTTATTTCAATCGTAAAATCTAAAAATGTAATAATATACAGTGTTCCATTTAAAAAATACAACTATAATATTTTTTACTTATTTGGGACACTCTGTATCTTGTAAAAATATTTTTAAATTGTAGCTCTAATAGTCCTTCAACGAACTTTACAATTTGTAAAAATCTTATCGTTTAGCTACAATACTCCGTGTCGTATATGGTGAACAACCCTGTATATTTTTATACATAACAAACAGTTAATGAAAAGCAAATAAAAATAGATATCAATGATTCTTATAATTAAGCTTGATTTTCATGCGTCCGTTATCCGTTGATAGGATGGTTCGACGGCGCTCTTATTGGTAATAACGTTTTCGCGCCACTTTTCATCTGTAAATTTTTTACTCCACCCGTCAATGGAGAAAGTCCTACGATAACGGACGCTTTGACACTTTTTGAGAGCTCCGTCGGGAAAACGAGAATTTTAAGAAAGTTGGTTCTTTAATATATCTTTTACTATGCTCTCCTGACCAAAGTGTGGGCTGTCTGGCTGCCGGTATACTACTGCGATACACTATTCCGCATCACATCTATACAGGGTTTTCCATTTTAGTGTGTTTTATGGGATTTCTCGTTTATGAGTACAATGATACAATGATACGATTTTCACATTAGTTTGCTACTTTTTTATGTAACTAAATATGCTACACATACTATATAGGTTTATCCTAACCTCCTTAATTCCTGAAATACAGGGCAAAATTGTGATGCGCAGTAGTGAACGCAACGTCTAATGGCAGCCAGACGGTCAGCACTCTGTACAGGAGAGCATAGCCAAACCACCTTTCTTAATTTTTTTCTCGATCGAAAACGTTGCTAGCTCTTAAAGTATAAGTAAAACAGCAAAATCGTTATGGAAATGAAAATATAAAATGACACCAATCACAAGCAAATCGTATATCTGATGAACGGTGACATGAAAAAGCAATAATTTTAAAAACTGCGTAATTTTCTAACCAATTGAAGTCTTTAAATTCAACCAATAAAATTAATATTGTATCATCATATCGTCAGACAACGGATGCATGAAAATCAAGCTTTATAAGACTACATTACTTAATATTACATACAACTACTAAGAAACCCCTATGCATAACTATTATTTAAATTTATCTAGTTGTTTTGCATTTTTAACTGAAAAAAGTATCAATATACTGTCTCTACTTTTTTATAATTAAAATTAATGCCAACATTTAATTCATACAACCCTTAATAAGAGAATAATAATACTACCTGTTTAATACATGCTGAAATCCATGTCTGAATTCGTGCTCATAAGCTGGAATCGTGACTTGTTTCCTCTTGAACTGACTTGATTCCAGTCGCACTAAAGCGGTGGGAGTCGGCTCGCGGTAATCAGGCATCATAACTACAAAGCTCAAAGGCTCAGGACTGTCACTTAACAATCTTTCCATATGGTTAATGGAAGCTTCCATCAATTCTTCACAGTAAGGTGGATTGGCTTCAAATGATCCAGAGACAGCTTTTAACTGAAGGAAGGACCTATTAAGAAGAAATAAAATAAGATATGCGTTTACTGTTATGACTATACACCAGGTCGGCAAGGTCTGATTTTGGGTCCCGATTTTCGTGTGTAAGAAGAGTAGAGTCAATACGCTCAGTACAATAAGATATACTGAACAAAGAGAGAAGAGCAAGTAGTCTAAGAGCTAGCAACGTTTTCGAGAAAGCATTTTAAGAAAGCTGGCTCTTTGATATATCTTTTACTATGCTCTCTGGAACAGCATGCGACCCATCTGGCTGCCGATACCCGTTGCGTTCACTACTGCGCATCGGAAGAAGATCCTATTTTTTTTTTATTTAGTCCGTTAAATTCTAGTATTGAATATAAATCGAACAAGTCTCCATAGCGCAGCGCGTGGAGTTTCCTCCAACTACGAACCGAGGATTCAGAGTTCGAGACCGGGTCAGGGCAAAACCTTTTTTATTTTATTTTCGTTTATATTCTGATAGTAAAGTATTAAATATTTGTTTTTTTGAATCACCAGAATTATTTAATACTTTACTATCAGAATATTAACAAAAATAAAATAAAAAAGTTTTTGCCCTGACCTGGTTTCGAACTCTTGACTCCTCGCTTGATAGGCGGAACCTCTACGCGCTGCGCTATGGAGACTCGGTCGGTTTATATTCATTTCATTTCATCAATTTAAAGGACTAATAAAACTATAGGATCTTCTTTCAATGTGCGGTAGGGAAGGCAACGTTTACCGGCAGTCAGACGGGCCGCATGCTGTTCCAGAGAGCATAGTAAACGATATATTAAAGAGCCAGCTTTCTTAAAATACTTGTTTTCACGACGTTGCTAGCTCTCGTACTAAAGTGTTTTCCCAAAAGCATGAAATATAGCGTTGGATTAAGTGATCATGTAATAAACACTTCACATTTTTCTCTCTAGGGCAAACAAGATTGACATTGCGATTCACTTCTCGACATGTAAATACCGACCGAAGATTGTTGTTTGCCGATATAAAAAAAATATTTAAAGTTTGTCGCAATTTTTCTGCTAAAAGGCTAATCTGGGCGGGGCCTACTTTATTTACGCGGAATCCGAACCGCGGTCCTCAGCCATATCATTGTCAATGCTCTATAGACTTGGAGAGTGTCTAAATCGACTCTTCCTCGCGAGATCCCCAATCTCATCTGGCGTGAATGAGCAGTGTGTGCCAATAGATTTTACATTCTTGCCATGGAACAGCAAGACAGAGTTTCCAAACGGTCACCCGTACATACTCTCGCATCGTCTAAAGTCGCTTAATGTGTGATCTATCAAGAACCGATGTTTTGACGTAGCTGAGCCCTTGCCCTTGCTGATATGGTATGTGGCTACATGATACATGCTTATGTAAATATAAATAACGAAAAACCTGTCAATCTGAGCTGTTATTTAGAGATAACAGTTTTCATCTCTTTTTTAATGCCTTATTAATCATTCTTAAATTTACTGACCTTTAAATTGACTTATACGTACTTATACAGATATATTTAAAAAGGCTTACCCTCTGCTGCCAAAGTAGGAATCACAATCGCCAAACGCCGAACAATACTGTCTAAAATAGCAATTCAGTGGCGCGCCAAAACATTCAAACGTCACCCCGAATGCTTTGTTCAGGCATTCGAAAACCGTAACTGGCAGAGATTGCTGCGTATCTCTGAAGTCTGCGTTGGCGTGACTGGGCGATGGGTTGACACCTAGAAACGTCGCGTAACGTTTTAACATCACCCACACCCTGGGAATAAACAGCTCAAATTTTCGATCGTCGAAACAATTGTGCCTATACAAATGTTCCTGAAATCAAGGAGAAAAACAAATTAAAAACATATTAAATTATTTTATAAATAACATAGTTCTAACAGGCAATAAAAAATAAGAAGTACCATTTGAAACTTAAAATATATTGCTAATAATCTAGCTTCATTTTTAACTGCATTAAATATAAGGCCCCTTATTTTAATTATTGATATTTTTTCTCTTAGCTTACTTTGAGACACAATTACAGTATTTAAAAAATATTCTCATGTATAGTGTATAAAACAATAAAATAATATATATTCCTTCTATTTTTTAAATCCTATACTCTACAACTTACCAATTTTTGTAAGTATAGAGTATTAATTGCCAACATTTCTCCTTGATACCTCAGCATTGCTTGGTCTCTGTCTGGCAGATATTCTACAATAGGTAATCGGGGACAACCTATTGCAAATTGTACTGGATAACACCATACCTAAAGAACATCAGGAATACTAATAATGTATTATACTATGCATAATATAAATATCAAATATACTGGGTCTTCTGGATTTAATTGTTCAATGGTCTAGAAACTATATATCTCAAAGGATTAAAAAATCTAGAAACTATATATCTCAAAAACTTTATTTTATTTGATTAATTTTTTGATTGCATAAAAACTAGTGTTAACTTAATATAACCTTTAAGAATGGTTACCAAAAATAAAATTTTCATTTAAAAAATAGTCTATTACGTCATATCTTAATTTGGGGCATGCTGTATAAAATTTTTTGCAATAAAAAAGACCACAATTTAAAGCCCCACACGTTTAATCTGTCAGTTTTGTGTGTGTAGGAGCACGTCTCTAGGCATTTCGTCTTTTTCATCTACACACAAGTAGTGACGGGATAACTCTAGCGAAAATTCGCTCGAGTACTCGATTATTGAAATGAACCGACATCGCTCGATTATGAACGAGCGATGCAAGTGACGAGTTAAGAGCGACGAACGCAAGCAATCCTAGAATGACCTAATGAATGATCTATTAATCTCTGCTTATATTTACGTCTAGCCGGCCCGTGCAACTTTACAACCCGCAGTAAGTAATGCTTAGCTATAGCCTGGTCCAGGCCTGGTCAAAAAAGCAACTGTGGCCGCATGGGTGAAGCGGTCACTTTGGGAGCGAGGGGTCCTAGGATCGATCCCCGACAAATGTTTACCTTTTTTATTTTATTACAGATGTTGGTAATAGCAATCAAGATACGTCGCGCCGTAGTAGGCGTGTTTTTGATGGCGTTGGTTAGTCTCTGGGAGTAAGTTTTTCTTAGATTGCACGCGAAATACTCCACCGATTATCGTTTATGCTGACCGTTTGCTGTAAAGTTTCGCGGTCCGGCGAGATGCAAAAACTAATCTAAAATCGTTTTTTCGCAAATATCGCAATCTTCATGTCTTTTGTCTTTTCTTAACATAATGGTAAAAAAGGCGAAAACTGGCAACGCTGCAAGCAGTGATAGGGTGCCCTATAGAGGCTTGTCTTGCCACTTGCCATTCATCTGCCATCCGTTCATGCTAACTTACTGCTTGACGTTACGAGTTGCCAGTACAATAAGCGACGGGCGAAAAAAACGTATTTTTATATACGAGCGACATTTCGCTCGAGCGATCGCTCGATTATTGAAATCGCTTGAAACTCGAGTACTCCGATTATTAATTGAAAATTAATCGGTTTTTCCCATCACTACACAGAATATTTTACTTCATACATTTTGTCTGAACAGGTAAGACGGACAAAAAACGTTATGTGTATTCGGGACTTAAGATACTAATCAACGTGTTCATATTTTAAAGAAATATATCTTAGATTTAAAGTTATACAGGGTATATGTCTCCACATATAGGCAATGTGCACAATTTAAAATTATTTTGAAACATACAGGGTGTTTCAGAACTAAGATCCATACCAAAGTTAAATTTTTTCTTATGGAACACACCCGATATTTTATTTCATTTTTGGATTCTTGGGCTTAAAAAACGGTATTTATTAAAATTAAAATCTTTTACTTTTGAGATATTTAAATATGCATGCTACAAAAGAATTGGTTATCAACACCCTGTACATTACTTTTCAGAATTAATTCTTGTGCTGAGTTTAAAGGTAAAGAAATAAACTTTATTAAAAAATTTTATTGCTTCCTTAAATTTATACAGGGGTACTTGTATAAAGTAAAAATTGCTGGTCTATTTTAAATATTTATTTTACATAAAAACTTCGTTATTTCAAATACAACACCCTGTATTTTTTTAAATAAGTCGAAGCGGATTCAAATGCTCTTTCAAACTATATTAGGGTTTCCTATACCTATCTAGCTCAGATTTTGAATAAAGAGCAATTTTTCAATAAAATAGCAACCAAAAGGGCTAGTGTCGTCATGGCAAGTTTCTAGTGACACTTAGTAGCTATTTTTAAAATCGACATCAGTTTATGAATTTTATTTAAATTTATACCAGTTTACTTTTATATAATTTACCCCTATAATAGTTTAATAAATAATATTTATTAAATATGTATTTATTAATCTATCAAGAAAAACGAAGTAGTTCTTTGTTTTATTTTACGATGACTTGTAGATATATGGATATTCCATATCATATATATCTACCATTTTCTATAAAAGAGCCAATTACGGCAAATTCATTTTCTTCATTTCCAGCCACAGGTTTCTGCCTAATAGGCTTTTTATTAACGACACCACCAACTCTGGGCGAAATAGGACAAGTAGTTATTCAAAGGAACGCTTATCAGTAAGATTCCTATTTGGATATCTTTGGGCATAAGCTCTTGAAGCCAAGAAGCAATTTTCCTCACAAAATAAAATCACTAGTAACATTCATTCGTTCCGCCAGCAGATATACTGCTTTATTTTTCTTGGTAAAATAATGAATACTTACTTATTAAACTATTGTGGGTAAATTTAAGTAAACTGTTATAAATCTGAATAATAATGTCCATAAAATAATATCGATTTTGAAAATAGTTACTAACTGTCACTAGAAAATTGCCATGGCGATACCAGCCATTTTGATTCCCATTTTATTGGAAAATCGCTTTTTATTCAAAATCTGAGATAGATAAGTATAGGAAACCCTAATATAATTTGAAAGAGCATTTGAATCTGCTTCGATTTATTTTAAAAAATACTGGGTGTTGCATTTGAAATAGCAAAGTTTTTATGTAAAATAAATCCTTAAAATAGATCAGCAATTTTTGGTACCCCTGTATAAATTTAAGGAAGCAATAACATTTTTCAATAAAGTTTATTTCCCCACCTTTAAACACAGCACAAGAATTAATTCTGAAAAATAATGTACAGGGTATTAATAATTTATTCTATTGTAGCATGCATATTTAAATATCTTTAAATATCTCAAAAACCAAAGATTTTAAACATATTTAACCCTTATAATAAATGCCTTTTTTTGGGCCTAAGAATCAAAAATTGAAATAAAATACCGGGTATTCCATAAGAAAAAATATAACTTTGGTATGGATCTTAGTTCTGAAACACCCTGTATATTTCAAAATAATTTTAAATGATGCGCATTCCCTCTCCGCATACACCCATAAAATATTTTGTTTCTATATCTTTCCGTTTTCATATAATCAACCGAGGCGAATGAGGTGCGCCACCCTGTAGAATAAGACTGTATTCCATTTTAAGTTTTGACTGAAATAAATATATAATGTCGGGGCTAGTAAATTTTTATGATTCTAATAGATATTTTGCAAAATTTATTAAAAAAGATTGACTGCAGATAGATTTTTTTTAACATCAAATTATTTATTATTGATTAAATTATATTAATTCACCTTTCTAGTTGCCTGTGTAGCAAAGGACTGAGGAGGAAGTTCCATGCCATGTTCCTTTAACACACTAGCGGACTTCTCCCTCACCTTCTTAGCATATTCACAAGATAAATTATATATTTTTAAACAAATTCCTTCCACAGACGCTTTCACCGTTTCCATAAGGTGCGGTTGGCACTGCTGCTTCAGATGCGCCAATCGGTCCTATAAAATCGTGTTAATATAACATTCCTTGATTGCGATGTTAAAAATTTACTTGAAAATCGTCGTAGGTAGCTCCAACCGTTTTCCTTAACCACTGAAACGTTTCGTCTACGTTCCATTTAACGACTTTTCTGCTTTCCGCTTCGGCATTTCTCGATTCCATGATTGATTTGGCAGCTTCAGCATACCTATATTAGAAGATAACTAATATCATTCAATTTAATAGCAACTGCTGTTAAAGTCATTATTACTAATGTGGGATAAAAAGCAACTATAAATTCAATACACAAAAATTATAAAGATTTTTATTAATTTTACAAACTAAAGTCTGCCGTATAAGTCGACGAAGATTTCGACAAACGACATACCAAAAGTGACAGAAAATACCATTTACGTGTGTATTGAAACGATAGTCATAAATGTCACTGTCATGTATTCTCTCAATGGATAGACTATACCTTCATATATTTCATAATACATATTTTAAAGCTAAAACAACAAAAATTTCACAACAGGAATATAGGATAAAGTTTATCAACAAATACCACCACAAACAAGAGAGTAAAAGTTTAATAAAAATTAAATGTAGGTCAAATTGATATATAATAGTAAAAATATTTGTATCTATTCTAGCCTTTGATTTGTTGCGCTTTTCTGAGCTTGTTTTATATTATTTATTGTCTATTCTACAATTGGTTTTGTTCAGATGTAGTAAATGTAGGATACTGTATCATCCCTCTCGTCCTAAGTTTGTTGATATGCGTTTTCCATAACCTTTTATTCAAAATAGTTAAAAAAAATAGTAGTAGAATAGTTAAACAGTAGTAGAATAAATAATAAATAACATAAAATAAGCTCCGTAAAGACTGACAAATCCACAAAATTTCAAGTCAATTTCAAATGTGTCAAATGAATCGTCAAACAGAACTGTCAAGGATCCCCACCCTAGAGTCCTTTTTCCGCCCACCATGCATGAATACATGGACAACACTATGCTCCTTCCTTAGTCTTCTTATTCAAAGGGCCATATACTGTGCACTATTCGATCTCTCTATTCGACTAATCTCTACTCTATACATCTGTCACTTTTGGATAACGTCTGTCAAAATAATACATTCCTTCTCCAGACCACACTATTTAAATAAAATATACATTTTCCCTACCTTGATAACTGTTTCCTTGCATCACCAGTAAACTTCGGCCTCACCAGTTTTATGGGTATATCATTCATTATCTCTCTATACATCGACAGTGAAATTTCTGGATAACAGTTACTAGGCAACAAAGGATCATAGCCTGAAAGACACTTTTTAAAAACATTTGCAGAAAACTTATATTTATTAATAATTCAATATTTTAATAGAATATAAAGGTGTGTTTATATGAACGCGTCGTGCATCATGCGTCGTTCCTTCACTCCAATCATATTTAAATATGAGATCACTATTCGGCACTTTTTAAATAAACCATAAAATTGCATAGAATCAACGACGGACGACCCATAATAATAATTTATTAATAATTTACTATTTTTATAGAATATAAATCAAAGTACTAAATAAAAACAATAACACTAATGTGAACTACCAATTAAATGTTGAAAGAATAATATTGATAAGTTTTGCATTGGCTGTTATCGAGAAATGTAATAATGCTGAGTAAAATAATTGGGAACAGGCAAGTCTATGTTATATAGTCGATAATTTAAGCCTGTTTAATAATGATAACTATGAAATACCAGGTAAACTATATCAAGCAAGTAGGTAGTTTCAATAATAGAAATCACAAAAGGTTAAAACACAATAGATATAAACAAGATAAGAAATACATAGCTTTCTTACATATTAATCCATTTGAATAGGTCCAACAGTGTATATTAAATAAAATACACTAAATAAAAAAAATTAAAATAAATTATAATGCATAAATTGATAAATCCTATTCTTAAAACTACAAAATGCAACTTAGATATATTATGAAAAAAATGCCTTATAGGAGACATAGTAGGTATACTCAAAGCAGTTCTTTGAATATTTTTTGTCCAATGTAAAATATAGGTAATTAAGGATAATAATCCAGGAAGTACTATTTTTTCATTTTTTTAACACAAATCTTTTGTTAATTGTTAATCTTATAGCCCTAACTAAGCAGCTTGCCAGTTACGCACAAACTTGCTTAAGAAAACACAGAGTGATTTTGGTATTTTATACCAGTAGATTTCATTTGAAATACTAAAATACACCATCTTGTTCTGACCACCCTGTATATACAACGCAATATGGCCTGTTTCAACATGATTAGCTTAGAAAAGGACACTATTCAATAGTTAAAAACCAGTAATAATTCACTGTTTTTCTTGTCAGCTTTGTTAAAGTGATGGTAAAGTATTTAATTTTAGAATAGAATGTTCAATTCATAAACTTCATCTTTGGAACAACGAGCACACCCTGTACAGTATAATTCGTTATACCAGGTATTCTAAACAGTCTGTTAAGAAACTAAACTTTTAATAAACCAACAACCGTTATAAAATTAACTAAGCAACTATGCTAGTCTTGTATGAATTTTCTGGTTTGAAATGTACATATAATAAAGTTCAATAAAAACTAATTAAAAGAAAAAAAGCATCCATAATTTAGTTCTTTTGATAGTAACCCAGAGTGAATTATACCGTATGATCGAAAAAAAAAAATGGCGTCCAGTTGGCTGGGAAATGACGATTGATGATATTTCCCATATAAATTTACATATGTATTTACCTTATAATACATATGCATTTACATATTGTATTTATATATAAAATGACAGCGATCTTTATTTCATAGCCATCGCTGACGCCGGTCTTTTTCGATCAGATAGTATATATCCTGAACAGTTCATCTGAGTGGTCTGTATTTTAATACATGCGACTAGGGAATGCAATCCCGCACCAAAACCTCCGGGATCGACACCAGGGAATCCCCTGGTGTCGATCCCGCACGGTAAATCCCGCAGAATCTCAGAGGGATCCCGCATTTGCGGGATTGCATTCCCTACATGCGATAGTAGAGATAAATATAAATGACCAGTTGACAGGAAGAGACAAAATCGGCTTATAGTGTTGCCGATTTTTGTGTGTAGGAAAATGTGATAGAAAAAAATAAACTATTTTAAAAAAGGTATATGCATACTACTGAAATGAATATAATATATCTAAGGTAAATATAATCTCTTACAGCTGTAGTAAAATGAGCAACATTATTCGTAAAGGCCTACTTGTGAGGTTTGAAATTTTAATGCAAAATCTGGCAATACCGCATAGAAGAAATGTATCAACCCAACTTTTATCTCTTTTTAATACATTTGATTTGTCATTAAGCTGTCTACATCACTGTCGTACATGTTAAAATCCTGACCATGCAGTTTCGATGACCAGATCGTTATAGAGGGTGGTCCGAATTGTATTCCGGAAACTTCGGCAGCATATTCTGCAGATCAAAATAAGTAAAAAAGTATGTCCTAAAATGCTTAGTTTCGGATATACAGGGTGTAGAAGTTTCATTTTTATTTCGATTTTTTCCAAATCATTTCTGCAGTAAAGTCAATATTTGGATGAAAATTGGTGTCTGGGAGTTTTTTGACATGAGAAATTTGATTTTGATGTGAATATGACTCCTACTAGTAGAGGGCGCCACCTACATATTTTTTAACTGGTTGAAAAGTAATAATTTTTCGTCCGTACCTGTATTAGTTTTATACAGGTACTAGTAAAATACTAACTACTGAGTAAAAAAATATTCATTTACGACGTTTTTTGCGTAAAAAAGGTCTCTTGGTAGAAATCGCTACGAATAATGGTTTTCGAGATATTTGGAATCGAAATGATCAATACTTGTCATCATTGACATAAATTAAACATGTTTACTAAACAGTTATCAGACTGAAACAGATTTAAATGGCACCCTCGGTATTTTTTTACTTTATTCGATAGAAAATGACATTCTGAATCGAATGGCATATCATATGTCAATTTTTGACATAGTCACTCAAAAACAAATTCTATTTTAAATTTCAATCTAGAGTGTCATGGATGTGTTAAAAACACTAATTTTTAATCAAGGAACCTTGGAAAAATAGATTTGATCTTCTAATGTTTTTAGTGTCTCGTCCTGGCTGGTTAAAAGATGCCCAAATCGTATTTTTAATCATATCTCAATTTTTTCAAATGGAACGAGGGTGGCTCATTAGCTTATTTGAAAAAAGCATTTTTTTTACGAATAATTTGACACCACACACTTGATATTTTGAGTCAAATTGTCGTTATGAACCGCATGTTACAATTTCAAATAACCATATGCCAAAATGTCAAACGTTGACATATGATATGTCATTCGATTCAGAGTGTCATTTTCTATCGAATAAAGTAAAAAAATACCGAGGGTGCTATTTAAAAATCAAAAGTTGTAGTCATTTCTGGTGAAACCGGAAGTGACCGAAACCAAATATCGTTGTTTTATCTGAAAAAATAAAAAATGTTATAGAGGTGAGCCACTTTTGAGACGCACCCGGTTTAACATAACAAAATAAAAGATCAGGAAATAACTCAATAAAAATGTAAGTTGGTGATCCTTGTAAATCACATTAATAAATGGTACTCAAATATACAAGATACAATAATTAATTTTTAATTATTTTTTTTATTTTCAAAAATAATTTTTTAGTACGAACCTAAGTATTTTGAAAAAAAAATTCACTAGGCTTTAGACAATCCTAGATAAGTATTATAAGCTGTAGAATATTCAAAATCCAGTTTACATAATTTAAATACCTGTATCTATAACTTTTCGTTCCATCAACCATCTATTAAAAGAGTCTTTAGGAGCGTCTATAGATTCTCTAGAATGACACAATTCCTGGTAGCACTGCCTTAATTTAGCAAGCAAGGCACACCTAAAAAATCAAAAATATTTAAAGTATATGTTACTTTAGTGCCACATAATTTAAATTTATACCTATATGCTTCGATTTCTGGATGTGATTGAATAAAAATACATGGAGGCCTTTCAAATATTATCACATTTGTTGTTATTTCCAAATCCCATGGTCCTGCCAATATAAATTTTTTAGCTTGAGGACACTGCAGATCTTCTGAGGCTCTTCTTTTGCCTAAAATATATTATTTATTAATTTAATTTTCAATTTCAGTAGATATCTCATATATTTTTAAATTATAAACCAAATATACAAACAAGCTGAACATAAATTAGTTGCTACAAATTCAGTGAATAAAATGGAATTTTTAAAATAAAAATGAAATTCGCACATATGAATCAAACTTTGACCAACTATACACACCGTCAACCCTGTATATTGTACAAAACTATTATTTTAAGTTTAATAACCTACTGTTTAAGGGTATTTATTAATATTAAAATAAACATAATACTTTACCTATAACAGCTGGAGGATGGATAGGCTGTGGGGCAGGTGTAGGCGGTACTGATATACCAAGAGGATCAGTTATTGGATCAAACTGAGGCTTGACCACTGGAGGCATTTCCCATAAACTCTCCCCAGTTAGTTTATTCCAAAAATACGGTCGATTTTCTCTCTTAGACCAAAATTTCTTCCATCCTTGTTGAACCAACTCAAAAGGCAGCTCATATTCAAAACCTTGATTGACTGGAGTTCCCTGTGGAGTTGTAGGTAGAGGTATTGGCATATGGGAATGCTGTGGAGGCATTTGTATGTTGTTTCCTTCAACAGGAGGCCAAACAGGGCGCTCTTCGGGAGGTTTTATCTCCGCTTCTTCGTTCATTGTTTCAAGCTTGTATTACTCGATTATTACTTAGTGATTTTCCACGAAATCCACACTAACTATACAAGGAGATATTGGACATTGGTACTTCACATAAGAAAGTAATTAAATCCGTTTAAAAAAGTGAAAAATTAAAACTGAAAAATCACGTATCTCGATTCAGTCATCATTTACGTAAAAAAATTTCGTACACTTCCACTTACGACGCCATTTGCTGACTGAGAAACTGAAGGATTCTCAAAACAAGCGAAATTAAATTCATCAACGCTACAAAACACCGTGAGTAAACCCTTCAACTATTTACAGAAACCTGCAAAACTACGGTTTTAAAATAGTTCAAATGTTCCATTTTTGCAATCATAGCCACGGATGTATGATCTAGCCCATCCCTAATAAATTAATAATATATGAAACCTATGGATCATATAAATTTGTATATATGATCTAGAATAAAACTGTCTAAAAGATGCTAGCTGGTCCTGGCAGACCTGGCAGCTTAAATTAAAAAATCCCTCAAGATGAAAATAAAAAAAAAGATCATAACCACAAAAGTTGCATTTAAAAATTCATCTAGATTTTGGATAAATATGGAATTTTGTTAATTTAGATAATATAATTATAATAATTTAATCGTATAAATATTCTAGTTTGGAAATTTGGGATCTTAAAGAAATTTTTTAACAATGGTTAGAAAGAAAAATGGCAAGTACCTTTCTATAATATAGCTGAACCATATTTTTTATTATTTTGTGTTTCTGTAGAGTTTTCACATCTCACAGTGGATGAAAGAAAGGTTGTCACTGTCGCTGAAGTTGTGCAGGACTTAATAAAAGCTCACGAAGATAAAAAGAACGTGAATCTAAATGCATTAAAACATAAGATCTCTTCAAAATATGGACTCGAATCTTCTCCAAGATTAGTCGATATTATTGCAGCAGTGCCTGTTAACTATAAGAAAATATTAATTCCTAAATTGTTGGCAAAGCCCATAAGAACAGCTAGTGGGGTATAGTATATCATTTAATATTTAATTATAACTGGTTCCTGGTTCATAATATATGAATTTTTGTAATATTATAGATCGCTGTAGTGGCTGTTATGTGTAAACCACATCGATGTCCACATATTAATATGACAGGAAATATTTGTGTATATTGTCCAGGGGGTCCAGATTCTGACTTTGAGTATTCCACTCAAAGTTATACTGGTTATGAACCAACCTCGATGAGGGCAATTCGAGCTAGATATGATCCATATTTACAAACTAGACACAGAGTAGAACAATTAAAACAACTTGGTCATTCTGTAGATAAAGTAATTTCATAAATTAAAATAGTAATATACCTAATTTATGATTAATTATTTTTTAGGTAGAATTTATTGTAATGGGTGGAACATTTATGAGTCTTCCAGAAGACTATCGTGATTATTTTATTAGGAATTTACATGATGCCCTTTCTGGCCATAAAAGTGCATCTGTAGAAGAAGCAGTAATATTTTCAGAAAGATCAAATACTAAATGCATTGGGATTACTATAGAAACCAGACCTGATTACTGCTTGCAGAGGCATCTTTCTGATATGTTGAAATATGGCTGCACTAGACTTGAAATTGGTAAGAAAATTGACTTGATTATGAATTATTGTTTTATTTGATTGTTTATATTTAGGTGTTCAGTCAGTATATGAAGATGTGGCATTAGATACCAATCGAGGACACACTGTTAAAGCAGTATGTGAAACGTTTAATTTAGCTAAAGATGCAGGATTTAAAGTTGTGGCACATATGATGCCTGATTTGCCTAATGTAGATTTAGAAAGGGACATTGAACAGTTCATAGTAATTGAAATACCAATTTTAGTAGATAATATATGACAGACCCTCCTCCTCATTATACTCCTCCTCCTTCTCCTCCTCCCACCTAAGCCTCCCACCACTAATTCTACTCTTTTTAAATAAGCTCACCTCTACTTCTTTATATTTCCAATATATCTTTGTTATTTATTATTAGGATGTTCATTTATATCTAGTTTGAACATCAGTAAGAATAAATAACAAAAATATATTGGAAATATATTGGGTAAGCTTATTTGAAAAGTGTAGAATTGGAGGAAGAGGTGTATAATGAGGAGTAGGGTCTCTCATATATTATCTACTAAGTTTATTTTTAAATGGAATATTTCATGTATATCATTTTTAGGAATTCTTTGAGAATCCAGCATTTAGAGCAGATGGTCTAAAAATATATCCCACACTGGTCATAAGAGGAACTGGTTTATATGAATTATGGAAAACGGGGCGATATAAAAGTTATCCTCCATCTGTTCTGGTGGACTTGATAGCAAAAATCTTAGGATTGGTGCCACCATGGACTAGAGTATACAGGGTGCAAAGAGATATTCCAATGCCATTAGTTAGGTAAATACTTTGAATAAGAAGACTAAGGAAGGAGCATAATGCTAAAATCTAGATGGAAATTGTGGCAGAACTTAAATTAACAGTGACACTATCGCGATTTATCGAAAAAGACTCTAAAATAGTTGGTTGTGTAGCGTGCGGTAGATCTCGGCAAAAATTGAGTGAAATAATGGAACAACTTTTCGCTAGTAAGTGACTATATAATATACATACGTTTAGTAAACCGATCATTTATTCTACTACTGATAGTTGTATAAAGGTAGTAAATCTAGATGGAAATTGTGGCAGAACTTAAATTAACAGTGACACTATCGGTAGATCTCGGCAAAAATCGAGTGAAATAATGGAACAACTTTTCGCTAGTAAGTGACTATATAATATACATACGTGTAGTAAACCGATCATTTATGAAATTCACTTAAATTAACTAAATTATATATTTTTTTTGCATTTTAGCATTTATTTATTACTTGTCAAAGATCAGATGTCAAAGAATTTAGATACGTTAATTTGACTTACCTGCTTCAGTAGCGTATGGGATGTTTGTGTTAATAAATATTTATTATAACTTATCTATTTTTATTAGAATTATATATTTTTATAACAATTTTAATAACTACCAACATTTATTCACAACGTAAAATAAAACAACAAATTATTGAGTCTACCCCATGTCTACCCTACATCATAGTTTTACATTTTTTAAATAAAATTAGAACGGCACTGATAAACCGGAATTTAAGTCGGCCATATTTGAGGCCCATCGCGGTGTACTTAAGATTTTTGATATGCTCCTTCCTTAGTCTTCTTATTCAAAGGGTAAATATTATATTTTTAAATTAAATTTTCTGCATGTTCAAAACTCTCCCAAAATTATAAAATAGGTAGCAAATTCGTTATATTTTTTTAACTGAAATCTGAAAATATTTAAAAAAGTCCTTTTCATAAACTGAGCACATAAAAATACTCTATAATGTGTGTATATACAGTGTGAGTCAAAACTTGACCTATTGCTCCCCCACTATTTCAAATAATAATAAATGTATTTATTTCAAAAATGAAACTTTTACAAAAAAAAAAAATATTACAAAAGAGAAATAATATTGTGATATATATTTGTGTATATCACAAAATAATGAAGCAAATATAAACAAAATAATTAGATAGATACTTAGATTACAGTTGATGGTAGAAATCTTTAATGTTAAAAAAACAGCAAAATAAAACACTAAGTTACCATAATACACCAAAACACTTTACTTTTGTACTGGACGCGCGTTTCGCTAACTAAAATTAAAGCTAAACTAATATCTACAAATTGAGCCTTTATATAGGCGCTCAGTTTGCACTGACCAATTGAATCAAAACCAAACAAACGTAACAATTAGCGAAACTAGAGCAATAGGAACAGAGAACTGCCCGGAATTGGACCGTTACCTTTGTTCATATTATCTTTACATTTATTAATGTTGACGCTCTCATATGCATCTAATTGTCTGTAATTTGAGACTTGTTTAATTAATTTTTAATAAATTAATGTTTTATACCGAAAAAATATGGTTTCTATTCACACACCATTTCAGTAGTTTTTAATAAATGACAGTAATGTACAACTTATTTAAAATTATAATGACAGACATTTCTACCCCAATCATGATGATGTCGTTTATCTTGCATCACACGGTATTTTAGATATCTCTTTTAGTTCTGGCGTTGAACACGGTAACCTTCGGGAATTAGCACTTGAACGCATGAGCGACCTAGGTTTAAAATGTCGAGACGTTCGTACAAGAGAAGTCGGCATAACAGAAATTCACGAAAAAGTTCGACCTGACGATGTAGAACCGGTAAGAAGAGATTACGTTGCAAATGGCGGATGGGAAACATTTTTGAGTTATGAGGATCCAAAACAAGATATTCTAATTGGACTCCTAAGGTTAGTTTTGGTGGAATACTTCTTGATTTGTTAGTTTGGTTTGATTTTGCTTGTATTACAGGTTAAGAAAATGTTCTAAAGAGTATACATATCGACCTGAACTCATAAATAATTGTTCAATGGTAAGAGAACTACATGTATATGGGAGTGTTGTGCCAGTTAGTGGAAGAGATGAGAAGAAGTTCCAACATCAAGGTAAATATAGCCAAAATATATTGACGCGTTTATTATGCTTATTTCTTTTTATTGTTTAGGTTTTGGGGCACTTCTTATGCAATGGGCAGAAGATATTGCAATAAATGAACATAAATCTACAAAAATAGCAGTTATATCTGGAGTTGGCACAAGAAACTATTACAGAAAATTAGGTATAAATATTACATGATTACTTAGACGTAAATATCACTTATCAATTTATTATTTCTTTTTAGGATACTACTTAGAGGGTCCATATATGGTTAAAACTTTAGTCAGTGATAAATACGAAAGTTCTTTTAAAGTAATTGATGGTCCTAAACTTGAAATTAATACTCCATTTGAAAAATCATTTAAAATATACAATAATGATGAAGAGGCAGATGATGAATGGTTAGATGAATATGATAAAAGTCATGGTTTTAGTGTATAATATTACACATATTATACTATAAAAATATTAAGATATTTATATTTAAGTGTTAAATATATATAATTTAAATTTTATTTGACATTTAAGAATTAATTTTAATAACAATAAAAAGACTAACAAATATTTAATTATTTATTTTTTCTTTATTATCGAATACAGTCCGTTTCAATCGCGTTTTTTGCTCGTAAAAGCATTGTTACATGCCACATGCTCAACTTTGAAGCGGCATCGTACATCCTGATTGTGTTTGCATATCCCTCTACGTCTTTAAGCTCAATACAGTCTAGAAGGCACAGGATTAGTTGGCATTCTCTAGAAATAGTTGAAATATAAGTTGGATAAAAAAAAGACGTCAAGTTGATTTTATAAAATGCCGATCGATTATAGTTTTGTGTGTAAAATTATAAAAAATAGTTCATATTAAATAAACTTTTAGTCACGTGATTAAGCTTGACCGACAGAGCGTTGCCCACTTTTACATATTTTTTTTAATCAAAATATTTTAGGAAACAAAAATAAATTAATTATAAATATACAGGGTGCTACAAATTCGAGGTACGAGCATTGGTATCTCAGAAACCGTAATAGATACGAAGATGGTTAAATTGGGGCAAAGTTGCGCCTTGGGATGTTCGCCAACATGTTATCAAAAAAGTTTCAAAAGTTTCAAGGATTGTTGAGTTTTTTGAGAAAAACGGATTTTTTTGAAAATCCATTTTATTTTTTTCTGTCCTTACTTTTTAGAAAATCTTATAACTTTTTTGATTGTACCTATCTTAGTCAACATCCCAAGGCGCAACTTTGCCCCAATTTAATTTTTATTTTTTTACCAATGGTCGTACCTCGAATTTGCAGCACCCTGTACACTTCGCACGAAAAGATGTTCTAAAAAGAACAACGTTCGTCTGCTAGGTCTGCTAGTAAATCTTTTAAAGTTTAAAGTATCACAAGACTATTTATTTAAACCAAAAACTCGTAATATAAAACTAAAGTGTCAAAACGAATGACAATTTCAGAAAATAAATAAATAAATGTGGCATCTTAAGCCGCGTCCTAGCTACTCGAACAAAATGTTCGCGAACATATATAATTAAACAGATACTAAGTGAAAATTGTGAGATAGGTAGATTTATAAATAATAAAGCCAACAAGTACAGCTAGCCTAAGCTTATTAAGGAGTGCGAAGCGTGGAGCGCCGAACGGCTAGCTTGTATGCCAGAGCGTGCGTCTGCCTATGCTAGAGCGCGCTAGAGCGTCTGCCTATGCTAGAGTTCTTTTTCCGACAGGTGTCGGTAAATCAAAAGGAGCGAACGGCGTGCATTTCGGCGGACATTGTACCGGACACTTGGAAGGGTCTCATTTAATTGCGGGCGTCCATCTGTGATTTTTATTTTTTACCGAGTATTCGACAATGAGAGACGCAGTTATTGACTGGGATCGTGAAAAACATTTACAATTAATTTGTTTACACAAAGAAAAGATTTTATAATTTTAATTTTAATGTGGGTTGAGTGTGAATAGCTATGTAGCTAGACTTCGTCCATATAATTTAATTTTTGTTAATAAAGACCATTATGATTATTTTTTATTAAAAACCGGAATTATTATGGGATTCTGAAATTAAAAATTACTACTTAATAGGAAGTTTGACACATTTTTAGAAATAAATATACCGGGTGTTTCTGAATGTGGTTCACTTCTATAACTTTTTTAATTTTTTAGATAAAAAACGAGATCTGGTATGTTAGTATAGGACATAAATCGGAATTGATCGACGTTTTCATTTATTTTCGGTCACTACCTATTTCACCGGAAATGACAACAACTTTTAATTTAAATGATACCCTCGGTATTTTTTTACCGTATATGATAGAAAATGACATTCTAAATAGAATGATATATTATATGTCAACTTTTGACATTTTCAATTTAAAAATGGCCATAAAAAAACGTAACGACAATTTTACTCCAAATACCAAGTATGTGGTACCAAATTATTCGTAAAAAATGCTTTTTCCAAATATGCTGAGCCAGCCTCGTACCATTTGAAAAATTTGAGTTATCATTAAAAATACGATTTGGGCATCTTTTAAGCGGCCATGAAAGGATACGAAAAAAAATTACACGATCAAATATATGTTTCCAAAGTTCGTTGATTACAAATTAATAGTTTTAACTCAGTCTTGGCACTCTAGATTGAAATTTAAAATGCTATTTTTATTTAATTGGAATTATCTAAAATTGACGTATGGTATGTCATTCTATTCAGAGTGTCATTTTCTATCAAATAAAGTAAAAAAGTACTTAGGATACAATCTAAAAATACAAAGTAGTCATTTCCGGTGAAATAGGAAGCGACCGAAGGTAATTGAATACGTCAATCAATCCCGATTTATGTCGTATACTAACAAACCAAATTTCGTTGTATTATCTGAAAAAATAAAAAAGTGAGCCTCTTTTGAGAAACACCTGGTAGAATCGGCTGAAAATGAATACAGATCTTAAAAATACACTATAACGAATAATCTACCAAAAGACCCCTGTGACCCTCCGCCTGCTAAATATTGATTCGTCAACGACAAAAGTTCTTAAACTGTTTACCGGTTAATTTGTTTAATAAAATGCTTGCACTCGAAATCCGGGCACTCGAAAAAACAGCCACTACCTAAACGCAGCCTAGATCTATAGAGCAAACAGGTTGTCGCATTCTTCCCCGCACCTCAGTCCTCGGGACCGATGCGATGGGCTGTGCCGTCGTCGTGAATTATATATGTTCGCGAACGTTTTGTTCGAGTAGCTTGGACGCGGCTTTACAGAGCAGCAGAGCTACTACCTGAATTCCCAGCGGGAAATTTAAATTCCAGAAGTCAACCCGGCGCCGAATATGTTCATGGTTGGCAACAATGAATTTAAAAATCGCGCCATCGATTACGTAACTAAAAGTTTAATTGGTATTATGTTGTTATTCACTGGCATTTGATTCATATTTCTAAGGTATCTTTACTGCGTTTCTTTCAATTTTTTCCATCATATAGTATAACTATATAAATCTTAATATAACGATATAAAATGTGTGTTTTTTTACTAAATAAATTATATACAGTTGTAAGTTAAGTTATCACTTATTAAAATCGGTTGCCGTCATCTACAGATACATATACATACAGGATACAGGGTCGCTTTTATGTATGGAAACGGTCGATTATTAGGTAAAATATAGGAGGTACCGCAAAAAGTTAAATACAAAAGTTATAGGGTTTGTAAATATCTATTAGCGAGCAGTAAATTTAAGTATACAGGGTCGTTCATAAAGTCGTAGCACATCAAAGTTTCATATTTTTAAATAGAACCTGTATATTATTACATATTTCAATTATTCCTTCAATTCTAAGCAAAAATCGAAACACACAAAGTGTACCTCAAAGCAACTGTTTCCGAGTTGGCTTTTGAAAATATCACTTAAACAATTCGATTTAATTAGTTTCGATGTGTTCGGTTTGGTTTAATGATGCCATTCTGCCGAAACTGTAATACTATCGTAATGGGTTTTTAAATTCCTATTAGCTACTAGTAAATTTAAGTATACAGGGTCGGTCATAAAGTTGTGTCACATCTCATTTTTTTTAAATTAAATAATAATGACTTTTTTTTAATGAAACCCTCTGTATATTATTGCATATTTCAATTCTTCCTTCAATTTTAAGCAATAATCATTATACACAATGCACATAAATTGAAGAATTGAAATGTTAAACGAAGATTTTGTAATTTCCAGACTTGATATACTCTCATTTTATACATCTATAAATGCTAACTTGAGAACTAAAGTTAAATATTATTAAGTATCACAGTTTTGGCAGAATAACATCGTTAAATTAAACTGAACATATCGAAAATAATTAAATCAAATTGTTTAAGTGATATTTTCAAAAGTCAATAACTCGGAAATGGTTGGTTTGAGGTACATTGTGTGTATTTCGATTTTTGCTTAGAATTGAAGGAAGAACCGAAATATGCAATAATATACAGGGGGTTCCATTTAAAAAAAATGAAACTTTGATGGGCCACGACTTTATGACCGACCTTGTATACTTAAATTTATTACCCGCTAATAGATATTTACAAACCGTATAACTTTTGTATTTAACTTTTGTGGTACCTCCTATATTTTACCGAATAATCGACCGTTTCCATACATAACGGCGACCCTGTATACAAGGTGATACATATACGACGATGGTAGGTTAGATGAGGGTTAGATGGTTATGGAAAACTGGTGATTGGTGATTGGATTATTTTCAAAAATTGGATTCTTAGTTAAAACACTTTGAGTTATGCGTTAAGTAAAGTCACTATATTCAATCCGTCTGCGTCTCAAGTATTTTTTTAAGAATATCTCCAAAATTCTGTCATTAAATTTGGAATAAAATCACTCTACAATGGTATTTTGAAACATAATATATAATAATAAACAAAAGAAGTTGAAGCTGTCAAAAATACAGAGTGCTCTTTAAGATTCTTCGTTTAAGCTCATCTTTAGGTCAAACTGCAATTGGTATTTGTTTTTTTTTATAATGGGAACTGCGACTTTCGATAAATTTATATATTGTATCCAAATTTCATATTTAACTGATAAAAAAAAACAACGAAATTACGGTCTGTATACACCGATTTTGTTATAACCTCATACAGCTATGGATGTATTGTTTTTTCACATATACCTGTTCTTGTAAACTTACTTCGAGTCTTTGAACTGTATAGACATATCACAATAACGATTTATAATTGTTTCTACTATGTCAGGATCATTGCATAAATGACAAATAGCGGCTCTAAATAAATATTCTCTGGCGTTATATTGGATTAGTGAACTGGACAGATCAAAACATGCAATATCCTAAAACAGAAAGAAACCCGTTTAATAAAAGAGTTTAGTTTAAAAGTTTAATTGCTATTAGTTAAATCATAGCCTATTCGTAACCAGCCTACGGATTTAAGACCACTCGCAGTGAAATCTGCGTATCTAATTTAGATATTTGCTTGTCTTATATGTATTATATAGTCGATATTATGCAGTCGAGTTCTGTACTTCGTTAAAACTGCATTTGGAAAAACGACTGAGACGGGTACTCTGACTGCTGGCATGTATATGAGAATAGGCGCAGCAGCTAACGCGAATACTCAAAAACAAGCGATGATGGTCAGCTGATATTAATTAAGCTGTGATAAAATGATGGTATTTTTATTCTTTCAAAAATCCTTTAGGAAAAAATACGGAGGAAGGAAATAAGGAAGGAAAGTATAATCTTCAAGTAGGCTTTGATAAATACCCATAAAGGATTTTTTTGGATAGATGAATCCGCCACATAGGTGTAGACATTCTTTAGGCTTTGATACTTTGATTTAAACCTTTATAAAAATTATAATGAAATTTTTCATTTCTAGTATTTATCTGTCAGTAAAGGCGGCTCCACGCATTCGGGTATTTGACAAATACACGAATATTTGTAGATTTGTCTAAATTACTTTTTGGCACCAAGCAATATTCTTGAATAGTTTCCAAGATGGAAATGGAAAGCGATTGGCTTAACTCACTAGTTTAGAAATAGTTTTGATATAGTTGTAGAATGTAGAATGTATAGGAGGGGGTTAATCACCGCGACCTTACAAATTTATTGTCTCCCTTTCTTGAGTTATATAACGAGTTATAACTGATTATACAGTCTCAGGGCTTTGATAACAGCCAGTATCTGAGACGGTTTTACAGAGTTCTCCATCTCCGATGTTGTCTCGACGCACTCAGTGATGAGGAGTTGTGGTGTTTCCCCAACAAATTGGGGCCTCACATTGCAAAGAGGCTATGTGGAGAAAAAAGTATTCCTGCAAACGAACGATTAGCTGTAACTCTTTGATTTCTGGAAACTGGTAGTTTCAAAAGTCTTAGATATTTATTCAAAATTTTGCCGCAGATTCTGAAGATTCGCAAATCACAAATCATTCCAGAGGTGTGTATTGCATTGATTAATGCATTACGTGTTTCAATAAAACTAAGGAATTTATTTTAATCCGTGTTTTTTTCAAATCAAAATTTTTAGAATTTAGAATTTTGAGAGGGCTTTAAATAAGCAAGTAAATTTAGTTTTGTATTTCAGAAACCACTCGGTATAGTATAAGACATTATAGTATTTTTGGAATGGAAATTTAATGGCAAGAAATATACAGTATTCCATTTAAAATATACAACTTTAGTTTGAAAATCTGTTTGAATCACCCTGTGTGTTAAAAAAAAATTTTCAAAATGTGCGTTATCATTATTGTCCCCACATTACGTAAAAAAATTTATATAACCAAACCAAACCTAATATACGGGGTGCGTCTCAAAAGTGGCTCACCCCCTATAACTTTTTTATGTTTTCAGATAAAAAAACGAGTTTTGGTATGCCAGTATATGACATAAATTAGGATTGATTGACGTATTCAATTGTTTTCGGTCACTTCCTGTTTCACCGGAAATGAATACAACTTTTGATTTTTAAATGGCACCCTCGGTATTTTTTTTACTTTATTCAATAGAAAATGGCATTCTGAATAGAATGACATATCATATGTCAACTTTTGACATTCTCGCTTAATAAAAAATTGTATTTTAAAATTCAATCTAGAGTACCATGGCTATGTTAAAAACACTAATTCTTAATCAAGGAGCCTTGGAAAAATAGGTTTGATCGTCTAATGTTTTTAGTGTCTTGTCCTGACCAGTTAGAAAATGCTCAAATCGTATTTTTCATCATATCTCAATTTTTTCAAATGGAACGGGGGTGGCTCATTAGCATATTTGGAAAAAGCATTTTTTTACGAATAATTTGATGTCAAATTTTCATTACGAACCGCAAGTTATAATTTCAAATAAACCGTATACGAAAATGTCAAAAGTTGACATATGATATGTCATTCTATTCAGAGTGTTATTTTCTATCGAATAAAATAAAAAAATAACGAGGGTGCCATTTAAAAATCAAAAGTTGTAGTCATTTCCGGTGAAACAGGAAGTGACCGACAACAATTGAATACGTCAATCAATCCTAATTTATGTCATATACTAACATACCAAATCTCGTTTTTTTATATGAAAAAATAAAGAAGTTATAGGGGTGAGCCACTTTTGAGACGCACCCGGTAGAGCTTTTTCGGAACATGGGCCACCCTGTATTTACCAAATTTCCAAATATTTGTGATAAATATCCGAGTAAATCGTAATATCTGATCTCGTAAATATCCGAATGTGTGGAGCCGCCTTTATACAAAGCGAAGTTTGATCGTAAAAGTTTCTAATTATTATATCACAAAATCAATTTTTTTGACTTTTTTATTTTCATTTACTTATTACTTCAATATTTTATGTCCCTTAAACAAAAATTTACCTGCAGTACGTTCAAGGGCCAACGAAAAGTTGTTTTAAAAATAGACACATATTCTAATTTACTTCGAGCTCATCTTAATAAGACTAATCTCAGAAAATCGATGTCAGATAAACGTAAAATAGTACTACATCCGCATCGATGTGACCATCTACGCCACTGGATCGATTTATTCAAACGCGGCACAAAAACTGGTCCGCACCTCAGGTGGAATTAAACACGAAAAAGGCATGTAACGAAGCTATTTAAAAACAACCTGAAAAATCTTGATGGCTTTCTGGTATTTTCCCTCCAACGAGGAAAATTCGGCGACCTTTTGCATGCACCTGTTCGCCATAGAATGATGGTTCTCGTCTCTGAACAAATCCGCCGCTTTTTCGTAATGCACGATGGCTCCGGTCATGTCGCGGTCGTCTTCCATCACTTCCGCGATGGATTGGTGGAGCTTGGCGGCAGTAAGAAATTTACCTGTAATGATAGTGGTAATAGTTCGCAGGAAAATAAATATTTTAACTTCAACAGGGTGGTTTAAAAAAAGTGTAAGTGGATCGGGACGATCTTTTTAAAATGTAACACCCTGTGTATTATTGCATTTTGCTTTCCTATTAATCATTTTACATAGTCCAAAAATATTTTTTTTATAATTTCAGAGATGTAAATAAATAAATGAAAAAATATATTTTCAGCCTTTTTCGAAAAATATTAGAAATATAAGATATGATTTTAAATCAAAGGTATGCTAGGTACTTACTAGAGTTGGTCTGTACCTACCTTATTATAAGTACCTAGCATATAGTTTTGGTTTCATATTCAAAATTCCATGCCAAACTTTCTAAATATAAAATAATTTTTATTCGTTTTTTTTTAATGGAGCACCCTATACGTATTTTTTTTTGTTAGATGGAGAATTTAAAAATGAATATTTTTTTGTATTTAAAGTATTTCAAAATGTTTAACGGTTTTATACATTATTCACGGTATTAATATATAATATACATAGCCCTTTCAACGGTAAAATACCAGACAAAAATCATTAGGTGGATTTGATAAAAATTAACTGTTAAAATAGTCATAAGTATGTGATATAATACCGCGAATATTTGCGAAACTGTTAAACATTTTGAAAAACTCCAAATTTTTTAAAATAAAGAATAGTTTTACTTCGTTTTATTTTAAATGCAACACCCTGTATATTATTTTTTGTTATATGGAGAATTAAAAAAAATCAACATTTTTGTTGCTTTGCAACAAGAAAAGTTTGCTTTGAGAATTTAGAACATTCTGTATGATTTAAGATTTCCAAGTAGCCGAGCAAGTAGCATTTTCACGACTTGCGACCACATGTTTACTAAACACACCGTTGGATTAGTTACAAAAATTAGTTAGCTCCGTACCTTGGGTATTAAAATAAATGTAAACGTTTTTGTAACGTTGTGCCGACGTTGAACTAGTACTACAACAACGTAAAAGTTTCTGCGACGTCGAATAAACGTTGTCTTGTAACCTTTTTTGCTTAAGTGACCTTTAGGTGATTGTGATTCGGACAACGTAGTTACAATGTTGGGCAATAAAAAGTTTTCCGACGTCACTTTCAGGACCTATTCCAACGTTATGCAAACGTCGTCTGTTTTACTATTTCCAACGTTGTTTAGATTTCCTTATTCGTACGTTGGTAGGACGTCGAGCTACTACATTTTTGCAACTGTATTGAACCATAACCTTAAATCTTAAATTTTCACTTCATTGTTCTGTTCAGTGAGACAGTTCAGTGCTGTTTTTGTTTTTATAATGCAATTAAAATGGGACGTAAGAAAGGCACATAATAAAAGCAAATTTAAATATACATCGACATATTACCGATACTTTATCCACTCCTTCGTTTATTTAGAATATAGAGGGCGGGACAAGCAAATTTTGCTTTGACGTTTGACAATTGATGGCCATGTCTAGACTTAGACTCTAGGATGACTAAATTAGGCAATCTTGCGACTAGTATACTACCTGTTAAGGCTGAACTGCGACTTTATTAGTCCAGTATGCGACTACTCGAACTACACCATCTTAATCTCCAAAACAACAAAGTGAAAGCCGCCATGTTGTTGAATAAGAAAATGTTTTGTTCCTAAAAAAGCATTTCCTTTACTGCCATCTGGCATATGTCTCTAACTGGCACGAGGTTGTGCCGACGTTGCGCCCCGACGTTTGATCAGGCGACAATGTTGTCCCGACGTCCAAATGCTGCTTGGGTTACGATACATATAGCAAAGTAAGTAGTTTTAATTTCAGGACATTTCTTTTATTTTTAATAATTTTATTAAAAAAAGGCGCCTAAAAAACATTGATTTTTTATTTATTTATTAATATCTCTGAAACTATCAAAGCATATTTACATACCTAATAATTAATATCTAGGATTATGTGAAGTGATCAGAAAGGAAGCCAAAAATGGAATATGATACACGGTGATCGATTTAAAAAAAATCATCCCGATCCACTCACCTTCTTGAGCCTCCCTGTATAAGATAAAATATATTCCTGAAATACATTCTCGTACTTAATCTAGGTTTACACTTAAACATTTTTTTATTATTATCTATAGGAGCTACTAGATGCCCAATGCACTGTTGTAGATTGCAAAAAAACACTTATTTAGGCTAAACATAAAAAGGTTTTTTAGATGGCATTCATAGTCAGTTACAAAAAATCTTATTTGCAACACGTTTTGAAACATCTACTTTGTGTAACTATTTGAAAAAAAAATGCGCAAAACTTTATTCGTTGTCCAAAATAGTCTGTTTCCCAATCTGTTGTATAAATAACTTGTTTGCTGTATATGAAATGTTTTAATTTTCATTTTAGGGTGTCTACGTTGTATCTTTTGTATCTTGACGGTAATAATGATATTTACTATATAATGTTACGTGAGTGTTTGACATTTGACTCAAAGACATGGATAGAATAATCATGTCAGTTTAATTTGGTAATATTTTATTTTCCATAACTAAAATTGTAGATACTTCGTAGGCCTACTCTACACGTTAGCCAATGCATGTGCCAATATGTGTGCCATGTGCCGAATTGCTTGGGCCAACGTGTAGAGGGGACTATTGGTCGTGTTGCGGCACTGGCTGAGTTGGTCCAAGCATTGGCTGAGTTGGGCCAAGCACTGGCGATCAGTCCTTCTGTTGTAGTTTTTTTCAAACACATCAAGGATGGCCCCTCTACGCGTTGGCCAATATGTTGACCAGTGTGTTGGCCCAACCTGTAGAGGAGACTACATATATTTTAATAAAGTTATATATGAAAATCATTCGTCATGGGAAATTTACCTAAGATTTCTTACGTTGAGGTTAGCGTTGCAACACATAGTATAAAATATTATATTTTAGTAAACTTATATGACACAAAACCATAAATTCCTATTTTTTGAAAATAATTTCGTTTGTCTTACCCATTTCCGAATACAGCTTAATCGCCTTCATATAATTTTCTATAGCTTTCGACAAATCGCATTTTTTGAAACAATTGCCCGCTTCCGAGTAATTTATAGCTGCCTCGAGGTAATCTTCTACTTTGCAATTTAATTCCGCCGCATCCACAAATACTATGCCGGCCTGAACCCAATTCTTGGCCATTTTGAATAAATTCCCTGCTCTGGTGTAATATTCTATGGCTTCTTCTGGCTTTCGGTGTATGAAAATACAAAATTAATAGTTGAATTACATGAAATTCGAATCATTTTTATTTTAATAGTAGTGGAAACTGTTTGTACAGGGTGTCCCATTTTCGTATGTTTTGCAGGGTTTCTCGTTTATGAGTAGATAAAAATGCGGTTTTCACGTCGCTGCTGTGCTACTTTTTTATGATTTGAAGACTACTGCTATACACTGATTTGTCCTAGCCCTGTTACTGCCTGAAATACGGGGAGAAATTGAAAATGTTGCATTTTTTAGACCATAAAGAATTATAGTATGTTCATTGTTGTGACATCAAAAAAATACAGACAATACAGCAAAATGATTAACACTTTTAGTCAATCCGACATTGGTATCAGGAACATGTAGAAGCTCCTCATCAACGATATGAGGGAGTTGATGCTATAGTAGTTACCAGATTTTATTGCGAAATTCCGGGAGGGCAAAAAAAGAGGGAGCAAAAAACCGGGACGCTCTTGATGCCGCAGGTAAATATACAAAATTACCAAAATTACATAAATGCAGGTAAATAATTAGATATAAACTTATATCGTTTATCTATGATATATTAAGCAAAAGTATATACACTATTTAAAATGAAATTAGTGTCTATGGATAGTATTAATTATGTACAGTTAGTACTGTTACAAATATAAATGGGATTGTCTTCAAACGACAAATAACATAATATTACGAAAATTTTTATTTCAGAGTACGCTAAGTTAGTGTGACAAAAGTAAAGCAACTTTTAAGAGGAATTGAAGAAAAAAAGAATATTTTATTTCATTTAAGAACAGAAAAAAAAAGACACAACACTACAGAACTATAACAATATAAAAACATATTCTTAATAATTAATAGGATATCTATTGTTAGCTATAACGTTTTGGCAATGACGCGATATTGATGAATTTGAATTTTGGACAACAGTAATCGTCATATTTGACCAAACTTCCTTAATTTTGTCAGTTAAAGCATGTTTATTTAAGAACCTTGTAACGCGAATACGATTCTACCTCTTCGCACAGGTTTTCGATGGGCTTAAGGTTATGTTTCAGTGGCCAGCACAATGAACCTGAACATTATTTTCCAGAAACTTCGCCTGAACAAAACGTGAATGTTTTGGGTCATTGTCTTGTTGGAACAAACATCATAGAGGCATCTCCCACTCAGCATATGGCAACATCACGTTTTGGAGAATGTCCCTGTACACCAATCGATCCATAGTGCCGTCTATGAAGTGTAATGGACCTACCTCACATCATAAAAAACAACCCCATAAAAACACACTACCTGGTCCATGCTTTATTGTTGCCGTAACATATTTTGGACGAAACTTTATATTAACAGGGCATCTTAAACACTTTATTCCGTCAGATTAAAAATTTTGTAACGCGTTTCGTCACTAAACAATACTTTTTCCAATCTTGAACTGCCTAATTCAAGTGTCGTCGTGCAAATTCTAGTCTGGCACGGCGATTTCTTTCTGAGACCAATGGTTTCTTCGCTGGACGTCTGCTTATAAAGTTTTGCTTCAACTAATCGTCGTTAAACAATCCTCGAACTAACTTGTAGTTCAGAAATTTCAGCAATTATCCTTGGTTCTGACAACCACGGGTGGCACGGATTATTTTGAGAAATTCTTTTGATTCTCCTATCCACCTAAAATGTAGTTTTCCTTGACCTCCCTGATTTTGTCATTTTTTCAACATGTCCTCTTGCATTAAACCGTGACATTATTATCGTCACGCTCTATTTTGGCAAGTCAAACTGCTTTAGAATTTTAGAATTTAGAATGAGTGGGAGGGGGGTTAATCACTTCGACCTTACAGATCCATTGTGTCCCCCTTTCTTGAATCATAACTCATCATACAGTCCCAGGGCTTTGACAAAAGCCAGTATCTGGGACGGTTTTATAGAGGGTAGTTCTCCATCTCCAATATCAGTCGTACCAAAATTCATGGCACGAATGGTTGTCGTCTCGGCGCACTCAGTGATGAGGTGTACTGGTGTTTCACCATCTTCCCCACAGAATCTGCATTCGCCGTTTCTTCTTAGTTTCAATCTACTGAGGTGTTCATTGAGGAGACAGTGTCCTGTTAAAAACCCCGTGATAATCCGAAGATTGTTCTTACTCAGACCCAGGAAGATCTGTGATTTTTCTTGATCATAAGCCCTCAGAAACTTCTTCGAGTGTCCTAGACCATTGCAAGATTTCCATTCCAGGTTGCGGATGGAATCTTCCAAGTTCTTGAGTTCCGCCTTGAGTTGGTTACCACAAGTCAAACTGCTTAGATTTATCGAATGAATTATGAAGTGCATAATTTCATAAACGATTTTTTTTCTTTCTGCAAGAGTTCCAAGTTCATCCAGGCAATTCCAGAATCTTGCTAAATATTTTTGGTATCATAAGCATCCTTAGTGCCGCTTGACTCTCTGAGCATATATTTCAAAGTTGGGTTGCTGAGTTTACCAAATTATCCAAACTCCTGGAGAAACCGGATTTAGTTCTTATTCTTGCGGTGGTGTGCCTGATGTCTTCAGGCATTGGCGATCTCCATGACTATTTCGTTGAAGAGTTCTCTCTTCTGCTGCATGGAACAGCCTCCCAACCCCCAGACCGGTCCAGTTCCGTATATTTCTCAGCCATGACAGTTTCTTTCGACCTACCCATCTTCTACCTCCGACTTTTCCTTGAATTATCAAACGAGGAATATATTATTTGGTACCACGCATTATGTGTCCCAAGTAGTTAACTTTTCTGATCTTGATGGCAGTTAAGAGTTCCAGATCTTTATTTAGCTGTCCAAGAACTTCTTCGTTGCTTGTATGTTCGGTCCAAGAAATCTTAAGGATTCTCCGGCCGCACCACATTTCAAAGGCTTCTATTTTATTTATATTCTCGACCTTTATCGTTCATGTCTCGCATCCGTAAAGAGGAGTGGACCAGTGGACCATATGTAACAACGCAACGTTTTTGACTGTTCTATGTGCCAGTTCAATGTTTGCCTTTACATCTTTGTCACATGTATTTTCACTATTTAGCCAGCTTCCTAAATATCTAAAATGTGGTACTTGTTCAATATTGTGTCCGCTGATTTTCTCCGGATGTAGTTAAGTTACTGAAAATTGAATTCACGTCATTTGATGCAACAATCAAGAGCTGTAGGTACTTCTACTCTACCTGATATCATAATCCATAATACGGTTTATGTTTTTGTTTAAATCGCAAGTTATAAAATAACTGAATAATTCTTTTAAAATTAAAATTTAAATCATTTTAAAAGTAACATTTTAAAGCTGAGCCATCCTATACATATATCCATCCGTTTTAAGGTGGATATATTATAAAAGATAAATAGAACAAAGCCTTATCCAGGGAAGCGTTCCAGATGGGGAAAAAAGAGAACAGAATCAATTCCATCGTCATTCCTGGACGTATCCTACCTATACCTGTCGAACCCCCATACAAACGTACACATACATACACAGTATTATCTACACCTTATTGCCTACTCATTTCCACTCGCCGAGTAAATCGATATTAAATTGAGATGCCAAATATAGTCCCGGTGGCCGGACAGGTAGCCGCGGTGCGGGACGTTATGCACGCTCGCTCTTCAGTTACTTAAATGTTAATGGTAACGCTAGGTGCAATAATAAGCCAAGAGCGAACCAATTAGTGTTAGTGTAACAAGTAGTTGAAATTAAAACTAGTTAATCAGTTTTTGTTGTGTGATCTGATAAGTTTAGAAGTTAGTTTTTTGAGTTAGATCGCTGATAGTAAATTAAGTGCGGGAATTTTAAATTTTGTCGTTTGTTGAGTATTTAGTTTTAATTTTTATTGCTTATTAGGCTTGGTGCATTCTCGGCTGGTGCTGCCACCATCGGAGAATATCGTCAACAATTACTACTTACAAATACACGGGTTTAGATAGCGAGAATACGAAAACAAATTATTTAATAATTATTCTAAAAGTGTTAAAGTGGAAGTATAATTTGTGAAAATTCTAAAAATAAAAATAAAAAAGTAAATATTTTGATATCTTCAGAAGGTCTAACTTGTATTGTAATTTATAATTCCAGTTAAAAAAAAACTTTTTAAATTAGGTAGCAAAACTGGTGATTTAAACTATGCATAGGTTAGTGGGGCATAATTGGGCGGTTATAACGAAATTTTTTAAAGGTACATAGTTATAATTTTAGATGTTCATAAAACACTAGTTGATTAAAAAAAGTATACCATTAATATTGCCAATTATATTTTATCCTCTCATATTACCTATATGACTATTTAATTTTTTGACTATGTAACGAGCATGTCGTCGAACTGCTTGAATCCATTTTTGCTTTTGATCAAATCGGTGTGAGAAACTATGAAGCTATAAAATATTGTTTCGGGAGAGTTGAATATCCGGGAAAGTTGAGTTATTGAATGTTGTTGCACCCAATAACGCCTTAATTACGCTCTCCTTTACGCGCTAACATTTTTTCGGCGATTTTATCAACATTTGAAATTGTCACAACACAACACGAATAGTTCTGATTTTCGCTCATTTTTTACTACCCGAAACAGCGGTACATCACACAAACCTCGTTCCTGAGTGTTTTATAGTCTCAATAATTGCACTAGCAAAAAAAACTAAAATGCTTAAATAATATGACAAAATCACGATTTCAATATTATTATAATGCAATCAACATGACGACGGCTACTGATAATTTCAGATTTTTGCCGTTGAAGCGCTGCGGTCGGAATTAGTTGAAATCGACTGAAATGCACCAAGCCTATAACGTAAATATACATATTTCTTTTACATTTATATTTTTTTTTCTATACGTATCTACCACGAATATATTTAAATACCGTATGATCGAATAAAAACGGCGTCCAGTTGGCTTGGAAATGACGATCGATGGCATTTCCTATATAAATTTACATATAAAATGACAGCGATCTTCATTTCATAGCCATCGCTGACGCCGTTTTTATTCGATCATACGGTATATATTTGTATGTATGATTATAATAGATTTTAAAAGGAACAGTGCTGCTTTCAACTTCACTTTCAACTTTTAAATTCTTCTAAATTTTATCAAAATTCTTTTTATTAACAGAAAAAAAAACAAAAATATCAACAAAACATATTAAGACGGCTAAAAATTGTTTTCATTTAAAGAAAAAAAGTCACAGTTTTGACTCACTCTGTATATAGTGGGATATAGGAGTATTTAAGTACGATTAGGTACTTTTACAAGGGACATTGTTATACAGCAATTTCAGTTAAAAAGCGTGAACAAATTGCGATTTTATAATTTTGGATTAGCTTTAAATGTGCAGTTTTTAAAGAGACTAAATAATGCGAAGAAAAAAACATACGGTATAGGGATTATATTTTTTTAAAACTACTGTAGCAACTTCAGCAAATAAAAGTGTAGCCGTTATATAGAGTATAGCGAAGTAGATATTTAAAAATCTACATGATTAGGGTGAAAGTTATAATATACACTGATGCAAAAAATGCAACGGAAAAGTGTTATATTTTTAGTCCTATTCATGATTTCTTTAACAAACTGTATATAAATATATCAACTCTAATTTGTAAACTCATTTTATTTATAAAATTTTGTATTTGGCGTATTATACAGGGTTAATCGAAGTGTTGGTTTGGTTTAGTTTTTTTACCCCAACTTTAAAAAACTCTGTGCAATATGTGCAATAATTTCGTAAGCAGATTTTCCTAAAACTATTTTTTGGTCAGAACCGAACCATGTCTTCTGATCATTTTGTTTTTTAGATCATGTCAATACATGCCTTGGTTAATTTTTAAGAGCAAAATGAACTTGCCACATACACTTTGAAATGTTTTCAATTATCAATTATTTTTGATGTTATTTTTCAATATGACCCGGTGGCTTTGGTTATTAGTTTAAGGCGGTTCGACATATCTAAACCTTATAGAACACATTTGGAAAATGTTTGGCAAGAGGGTTAGAGGTCGCGAAGCGGTACCAGCATCATTAGATGAACTTCGCTTGGTTCCTATAATAAAAAATAAACCCAAAAAAGCACCAACTCAAAATGTTCAAAAGAATAGTCAAAATTGATAAAAAAAGCGGTTTGAATGACTTCTTTCTTTGTTTTTTTTTTGTATTCAAATGTAATAATACACTGACCGTCGCGAAAAAAGGGCACCTTAAAATGTTGATGTATTTTAATGTTTTAGCAGTATATATTGTGTCCTAGTTCACCGATTTTTATGATCTTTTAAGCAATTTGTAACTAAATTAGGTGACTTTTTATTATCTCTTTCTAAATTAAAATGCGAGTTCCCATCTGTCAATTATACGAGGGAAAACAAAATGTTGATATTTTGGTGAAAGTTTGGAACACTTTGTGGCAAAAAATAAAAACACTAAATCACCACAATACACCAAAACACTTTTACTTTTACAATGGACACGCGTTTCGCTAACCATGTTAGCATCATCAGCAGATGATTATAAACTAAAGTACAATCTGCAAGTTGAGCGTTTATATACTCGCCCAGTAGGCACCGAGTGGGCGTGGCAAAATCTAGCCAACCATAGACTTAAAATAAAATATAGACTGAGCATCTCATTCATAAATAGCTGGAACATGCGGTCAGACACTGTCTTGTTATTGTTGTGTTATTGTTTTAGGTTATAACGAGTGCGACACGAGCGATAGATAGGCTGTCTCTGTCGTAACGGTCGTTCCCTGACGACTCTGCCGAGAAACACAACACTGTCTTTCGTTTCTCAAGTACACCTGAACTCTCCGTATCATAGCCGGGTAATTTTTTTATTTTAATGAAGCTATAAGTAAATTAAAAATATATCGTATTTAAACGTTTTTATATTTTATTAAGATTTAGGACAGGTTTTTTACATAAAAGTTTAGAAAAAACGTCTTAGAGTCCGAAAAGGATAAACATAATAAAATACACGTTATAGAAGAAATTTTATAATCGAAATTACGTAATTTTTGAAATTAATAATAAATTATTAATTTTAGTCAAACATTTACAACCCCTAATATTAATCAAAACCGGATCTATTCCACAGATATAATAGAATCGGCGACAGGGAGAGAAAAAAAAATGATTGTTGTAATTTTTTTTCTGGTTAAGTGATGTCTTATTATGTAAATTAGAGAAAACATAAATCTGTTCCATTAAAGCAAGGAAGGTGATAGGAAGTGGATAAAATAAAAACTACATTTATTTAACTCGGTACTGTCTTTATTATACCGGGTGCGTCTCAAAAGTGGCTCATCCCCATAATTTTTTTATATTTTCAAATAAAAAAACAAGATTTAGTATGTTAGTATATGAAATAAATTAGGATTGATTGACGCATTCAATTGTTTTTGGTCACTTCCTGTGTCACCGGAAATGACTATAACTTTTAATTTTTAAACGGCACCCTCGGTATATTTCTACTTTATTCGATAGAAAATGACACTCTGAATAGAATGAAATATCATATGTCAACTTTTGACATTTTCGCATATGGTTTAATTGTAATTGTAACACGCGGTTCATAACGACAATTTGACTCGAAATACCAAGTGTGTGGTATCAATATATTCATAAAAAAATGCTTTTTCCAAATATGCTAATGAGTCACCCTTGTTCCATTTGAAAAAATTGATATATGTATGATTAAAAATACGATTTGTACATCTTTTAACCGGCCTAGACAAGACACGAAACCTATTAGACGATCAAAACTATTTTTCCAAGGCTCCTTGATTAAAACTTAGTGGATTGAAAAAAACTGGATTGAAATTTAAAATAGGATATGTTTTTAAGCGAGTTGACATATGATATGTCATTCTATTCAGAGTGTCATTTTTTATCGAATAAAGTAGCAATATACCGAGGGTGCCTTTAAAAATCAAAAGATATAATCATTTCGGTGAAACAGGAAGAGACCAAAAACAATTGAATACGTCAATAAATCCTAATTTATGTCATATACCTACTAACATACAAATCTGTTTTTTATCTGAAAAAATAAAAAAAGTTATAGGGTTGAGCCACTTTTGAGACGACCCGGTATATTAAAAAATATTGTTTCATAATGTAATATCATTTTAAAATTCTTGTACGTTATTTTAGATTCTGAAGATAATTTTAGAATAAACCGGAATATATTTTTAATAAAAACATTATTAATTATTAACAGGGTTATAATTATGATTTTGTTACAATGTAAGTAAGTAAATAATGTAATGTAAAAGAAAAAATTCAGATTTTACATTTTACTAAAATATTATCTAAATAAGCGCCTTTCTACAACAACGCCACTGACTGCCAATGGGTAAATTGAGAGTTGCCTACCGGTCCAAAGTCGTTTCAAGACTTAAATGGATTATTTAAGTCAAATTTCTTGCAAATTTGGCACTGGCGAACCATATTTTATAGTTCCTGAACAGAAAAAGTCAATAAAATAAACACTTAAGGACTACAAGCTAAGAGAATGCGTTAATACAGCCGGGGAGATAGCGGCAACAAAGCTTTACCGCACACGTGCGACACGTACTACAAGGTAATAAATGAATGAATAGGCTCCCTCGCCTCTAATCGGTGTTGTCATATTGTAAAGAACTTATCCTTATTAAACAGTATCCGACTTATAATTTAGTAGTATAAGGACTATTTAATACATCTATGGAATATTAAAACCTACTTTATTAAACTATAGTATTACTATCTCAATATATGTG